AATTAAACGCTTATTATACTTAGTAATATTAGCTATTTTATTAGTTTTTAGCTTCTTATTAGATATTATATCCTGGATTAGGTTATACTAGGAACGGGCAAGGTTCGGGGCAATAGTGATTTACTTAAGATACTATAGAAGAAACTAATTCTCGTATAATATGTCTTAGAGGCAGGCCTAATTATGGATACCCTATACTTAACTATATCTAGTTAGATTAAGTAAATAATCCCGGTTAGGGGCAAGCCGAAAGTTTTTGGAGCTATATATAAAGAGGAAGCCGGTTTTGCAAGCGACTATATGTCCCGTAGTAAGGTTACTAGATTATCTAGGCAATAGTCAGATAGAAGGGTCGCCTCAATCCAGGGGTCCGATTTAACCCCCCTATATTATTCTAATTATAGGAATCGAGCAGGGAGCCGAATTAGAACCCGCCTAATTCGATAAATTTGATACTGGTAATACTTCCCGAGATCATTTTTCCTTTTAGACTCAGGCAGGGAAGGTGTATCGGGTACCTGCGGTCATTCAGTAGCCCGGGTACCGGATTATTGGCCACGCGATCTTCAACACCAGGCAGCGGCTGAGAGCTGCGCTCCTCAAATACGTTTAAGAGCGCTGGGATCTGGAATACCCGGTCGACGAGATCGAGCAGCAGCTCTCTGGGCTCAAGCTTACCCTAGACGTGAAGGCCACCTTGGACCAGAACAATGAGATGCCCCCGCTCCAGAAGCGCGGAGACGGTAATAACGCTCCCGGGCACGACTATCGAAGAAGAGTTCCGCCGCCGCAATGCGGCTATCGATGTAGTCGCTGCCTACTGCCACTTCCAGGAGGGGGGAGCTACTGCCTAACTATATACGAGGCCGTCTATGCGAAGGGCGAGTCCGACGCCGTTAAAGGAGACTAACCCGCAGCTAGCAGCTACCGAGGCCGAGAAGCAAGTATTAAGTAATGCTATATTATTAGTATTTATAGAGAAGGGAACTACTACCTGTTTCCTTTGCTTAGGGGAGCAGAGCTTACCGTTCGAAAAGCGTACCTATAAGTTTGCTAGTCCGGGAGACTTAACGAAGCACTTTAAGCGGAAGTATCTGGCCCACATTAAAGAAGGGGATCGGCTTAAGTATAAGGTCTATTAAATAGGGCTGTAGCACAAGTAGTATCTCCAGAATCACGCAGAGAGTATTCACGAGACGGTTTCTTGACCCTTTAATACTCTATAAAAAGCATATAGCTATCTAGCCGACTTTCTTTTTGTCTTTTTTTTTTTGTTTTTATACTCTTATATATTTCATAGATATTTCCTTTCTACTATTTTCTAGAATATATAGATTAAAGGGGAATTCAATTATATAGGTAAGATTAGGCTAGTTAAAGGATATAATAGAGTTCTTTGCTAAGACTTAGGCTCTATAACTCATTGCTTTAGTGAAATGTATTAGGAAATTCTGGCAAATACTTCTTTAAAAATTCAGAGAACGATAGCTAGTTCGGCTCCGGGTAGTAATAAAGTCGGAGGGATAAGGAAGAAAGCAGTATCTGCATTAATTAAAAAGGCGGATAGAGGCTATAAGGCTGTGTATTAATTATATATAAAAACTAATAATTAGTGCCACGCTAATTAGGAATAAGAATATATTATTATTAAATTCATAATTGTACTTTCTCTTTCCTTGTCTCAGAGTATATACTAGCGGGCAAGGGGCAAAAGAAGCTAAACTTAGTAGAACCTGCCCCTATAATCCATATACCGGATACTTTTTGCTATATATTTGTGATCTTTTAGGAGTTCTAAGTACTATGCTCTGACTTTATTAGCGCATATATAAAGATCTTTAGTATTAATTTCCATTAATTCATCTATATCCTCATTAAAATTCCCCTATACTATTAGAATTATTTTGAGGCTACTAAGGAGAACAAGGTATTTTAATATATATCTAGCTAGTATATTCTCAGCCCACTTATACTTCTCTATAAGAACTATTATAAAGGTATTAAGCTCCCTCTTATAATAACGCATTAGGTCTTGCAGGTACTTAGGCTCATTAATAAGATTCATACTAAGCCAGAAAATATTGTGGTAAGAATTAACGTAAAATAGGCCGGCTATTAACTTTATAATATAATATTAGCTCAAGATATGCTTTCGAGATTCGTAATAGACTTAAAGAGCTATAGGAGGAAAATATTTCTTAAAACGCTTTCCTTCCAAAATTCTCGTACTAAAGTCCTATTCTAGTAAAGCAAATAAAGGACCTATAATACGGAAATTCGTGGCCTCTATATATTCTTTGGCCTCCTTATTCTCATAAGTTATGCCTTTAATTATCCGAGGTCCTAGCCACGTATATTCCCATATTATAAGATATAACTCGTCTAATAGCTTTGGAAATAAGTAAAAGGTATTAGTAGGTTAGTAATCTTTATACCCATAACTATTTATTATATGTACTATGGTCTAGTTATTAGTAGAAGTAGATTAAGGGATAGGTAATCTTATATGGTTATTTCATTTCTTATAAATAAAGATATAGATATTTAATAATTTATATAGTATAATAAAAGTTCTGGGCGGTATTAATTCCTCTTAGTTACCTTCCGGGTAATTATGGATACTCAGGTTAACTTAGTTAGCAAATACTCTCTTTTGCTAGTTTTCCTGGTTCTGGAGTTTATAGCCTGGATTATTTGCCGCAGCTAATAATAGCGTCTACTAGTTAGGTTAACTAGTGCTATGAGATGCAAAAGCGTCTGAGAAGTCCGTATATATAGTAGGAGGCGGATTTTTGGTTCAGGAAAATAAGGTCAAGAGATTTAGTAAGAATTATTAAAGAGAATCCCAAATATGGCCAGAGAAAAAAGCCGAGAGATTATTAATCTAACCTAAAAAGGTTAGTCTTTCTATATCTAAAATTAGATCAAGAAATATGGCTTGTGGCTATATAATTTCTCGAATATTCTTTTCTAAAGGCGAGGCTTAGTAGTGCCTTATAGTAGTCGCAATTAGCTATTAGCGAATCTCCTCCTAGTATGAAATGTGAACCCTTTTACTTCGTTTTAGGGCATTCTATAAGAAGTATTAAATATCTTTTTGTGCTCAGATTTTTATTCGTATTCGTTATTCTCTATATATCACGACCCTAGTATTTATTAAAGATTCACTAGGAGCCGAGAACTTAGAGGCAATAATACTAAGTAAATATAGTAAGTTAAAGTAAAGAGTTTTTATAATAGTATTACTTAGCTCTTATATTAGCAAAACTTTAAAGGCAAAAGCAGTTAGTAGATTCTTATACTCCTATATATTACATATTCTTTATTTATCTATTAGCTTATCCCTCTATATAATATATCTCTAAACTCATTAATAAAGAGAGGAGAAAGATTAAGATCTAAACGGGGGTTTAGGTCTCATTTTTAATTAGAGTCTGCCTCCAAGTCTAACTTTTATTTTGCTCTATTTATAATACTAAAAAAGAGAAAGAGAAGAAAATACTTAAATAAGGCTATTATAGAGCGAGAGTACTAATACAATAGTCTCGTCGCGCTTACTACTCTCCTTAAACTCTTTTATGTCCAGGCTACTATTCTCGTTCTTATCTATTATATGGAAGATCTTCTTAATGCGCTTTTCGGGCATATCTTTATTAGTAGGGAGTTTGACTATTAAGCTAATCTGGGGGAAATATTAGTATACCTTGCTGCCTCTAAGTTAAGGCTAATATAAATATAGCTATTAAGTCAGGGGTAAGAGTCACAAGACTAAACTACTATACGGAAGTTAGACTAGATATATTATCTTATAAATTGCCTTAATAATAGCTAATATCTTATTATAGCTAATCTTTCTATCTTCGTTAATATTATAGAGCTAGAAAGCCTAATCTAGCTTGTCCTCTATCTTTCCCCTACTCGTAATACTTAGAGCATAAATAAACTACTTAAAATTAATTAAGCCGGACTTATTACTATTAAAGACATAGTTAGCGAAAGAGGAGAAGTCTCCGGAGGGAAAGAATTAGTAGTAGATCTTTTGGAATTCCTCCTTAGTAAGTATGCCCGAGGAATAGTCCTTTAAGAAACCTAGTTAGTAGTTAGATTTGTAATTTTTAGTAAAGTATATCTAATATACTTTTATACTATTATTATAACTCTTTCTTATCGAAATATATGGATTATTAAAGCTTATTAAGCTATTCTTACGAGAGTTTTAATTATCTAGAAAGATACCCTTAGATTATATCCTAATAAAGTTTATAGTACTAGGTACTTATAATTTTCCTATCTTGACTTCTTATCTAATACTTCCTTAGAGAATAAAAACCTTACTAGTAATATGCTTGACCTTATGGCGTGGCGCAAGTCGGAGCGGAGGTTAGTTAAAGATATTAAGTCTAGGGACGAGCTATTAGTAATATAGATTTAATATAATACCGTATATTAACTAATAAATAAATTCATTCCTGCCATAGCTTTAGTAATTGGCCTCGAATTATTGTCTTCTTGCGCGGCTAACTTAAAGAGGCTAGATAACTGAAAAGTGAGACCCCTTTCAAATATATAAGCTTCTAACTATCTAAGAATCTCCGTTAGCTCTTGATTTCGTTTACAGAATCAGAATCGTTCTTTTCGCAGTTAGCTCTGCTCCAAAAAAGGGCAGGAAGATTCAGTTATAGTCTGTAACTATAGATATTAGCTATAATATTATATTATCTAGTGAGACATTATTCTTATTTTCTGTAATTAATTACTAACCAAAATTAAGCAGATAAACTCGGAGATAAAATACTATGGCTTTAATATAATATATTGAGAAGAGATAAAATATATGCGAGTTATAGAAATATTCTTTATTAGCTAATTAAAGAATGCCACAAAGGGAGCTCGAGAACTATTATATTAAATAGCCCATAATACTCTAGGAAAAGTATTCTAAGTTGCTTTAAAGTATAGAGAAGCTGCAATCTCAATGGTACTTAATAAAAGGCGTGACAGACAATTTTCGAAGAAGGAAAATCACTTTTATGGAAAAGGCAGACGAGCTAAGGAGTGAGTTCGGCTATAATATTTATGTTTTGGGACGGAGGAACGGAAAACTCTTTAATTATATATCTAGAGATAGACCTTCCTGGCCGCTTAGCTTAATAGAAGTTATAAGTAGCGTTCTTTTAATCCAAGGCCTATAATCTAAAAATTTATAGGATTAGAGTTATCCTAGGGCAGAAAGATATACACCGGCTAGCTTCTTGAAACGGGGCACCAAATCTCTGCTCTATAAAGGCCGGAAGGAACAAGACAATCCTATAGTAAGAATTAAGGACTTTCAGACCGGAAACGTAACGGGTGCTGAGGGATAGATTAGCTCTTCAGGTTTGAGACTTAATGCCCATTAAAGAAGCGGGGGATCTATTAGATAGAAAGTTATTGGTCTGCGCTATAGATAGATACATTGGATGGACGTCGAGGTTAACGGTGGCGATTAATTGAACTAGTTATCTGGCTTTCGTTTCAGCGTCACCTGAGCCAACTCACGTGCCACCCAGAATCACTAGCTGGCTCGAGATGACCACCCTCGATGGGTCCCGACCCTCTTATCAAAGAAAACCGTGCATAGACAATTAACCTCAGAGAGGGAGCCCGGAACCCAGACACTGGCCGGGATTGAACGTGACGTCTGCAGAAATTTTATATGGAAATGTTTCGGTTCACTACCTCCTCCGTAGGTGAGCGTCTCCCGTTTGAACCAATTGAAAACCCTTATGAATGCCACCACGTTATAACCTTTCCAATCAACAGTACCTTTATTCTTGGGGGCATTCTTTTGATTCTTGCGATGTGTGGGTATTGACTAGAAGTTCCAAAGAATTGCTAAGCTTTGCTTGGTGGGGTGAGATTGAATTACCCCGCGATTCTATTCTATATTTAGAACTCTTTGGGAACCTCCCCACGATATCCAAGTTTGGAGAGCAAAAGACGAGAGGAAATGAGACTCCCTCGCAGGTGGGCGGTTGCAAAAACCCTGAAAATGTGCTAACCAAAAAACTTCATACTAGTGCCCCACTCCTTTTAACCAGTAATTACGAGGATGTCCGCACTCAAAATAGCTGACCCCGAGGTACTTTGACTTTGAATAGGGCCCGATTTTCTGTGCAGACACTGGTAGTCGTTGCTTTCCCTGCTGACTTTTATTCAAGGCGCGGATAACCCTCGTAGCTCTGAAAAATGGGCCACGATGTCAGTGCGGACATAATGACCTACCCCTATTGGCAGGCTTTGAGAAATGGACCAGGTTATTTCAGTGGCCGAGGTTTAAAAAACTTGTCAATGACTCAATGGGGGGTGGGCAAAGACTGCTAATACGATTTAAGTGCCCATTATAACTTGTGTGCCTAGTTACAGGTTAATAATAACTGAATCTTGCCTACTATCTTTTTTGAGCAGAGCTGACTACGAAAGAACAATTTTGATTCTGAATACAAAAGCAAGCTAATATCTATAGTTACAGGCTTATAATGACTGAATCTTTCGTACCAACTTTTCGAGAGCTAACTGCGAAAGAAAAATTCTGATTCTGCGGACAAAAAAAGAGATGACCGAGATTCTTTATTATCTGCGTTATCCGCCAAGGAGAACAGGTAACTCAGGCACAAGTTGAATTAACTTGGACAACGAAATAACAGTCCCACAAGGGTGATATATCAGGGAATATAGTAATCCGCGGGACATGGGAGATATTTCGGTGAGCGGTTTGGGATCGCGGAGAGCGGGGATTTAGAGAGATGAGACAAAACTACCGCTCTATTAAAGTCCTTGTAATACAAGGCTGACTCTTTCTCAACTTCAAATGTGACTTGTTTCCCCGGTTCGACCAAATTTAGCGTTGGCCACCGACCAGATCTGAACTCTATTAAAAGCTTTCCAAAATATATGTCATGTCAGGTAGCAATCGTGTACAGAAATTCAATAAAATGCTCCTATCATCAGGAATCCCGCGACACCCATTTCTACAGCCCGCCTTGCTGATCTCTCTTCAAACCCAGTTACCTTAACACCACCCTCTTTTAAAGGGTCCAATTTCTACAAAGTTATTGAGATGTCTCAAGTCCTTCAAACCGCCCTGTTCAGTGAAAATGGTCACTCTGGAGCAAGAGGTGATATTTGGGATCTCTTTTGAGGATCCTGAGCGTGACTAGTAGAGGGAAAGGATACTAAGTTTCAAAATATCTTCATACAGAGTTGTCTCCAGCTCAAACAGAGTTCCGTGGCGGCTAGATTGGAGACACTGCAGTCGAATGGTTGAGAACTATTGCTCGAGGCTGAAATCGCGTTTAAAAATTGGCTCGTTAAAGACCCCAACCGTCGAAGTGCTAGGCTTTTAATGTTGCCGTTCCTGCTCGCTAAACTCTGAACATGTTCAGAGCTTGGAAATTTGCGTAAAAATCAAGATTTCATTTCATGAGAGGTACTACCTGAGGCTTTGCAAGCCGGTTCAGGACGCGTGGCCTTTGCCACCCATTGCGCAAACATGCCCAGAGCCTTTGGTCATGTGCTCTTCATTCCTGATAGCTTCCAAGAACTCTCTTTCGAGTTCCCCTCGATTCAGGCTTAGTACAATAAGAATCAGTCCATCACAATAGAGTAGAATCTTCAATTGGCAGTTTCAATGGGTTTTAATGGAAGGTGAAGTTTTGAGATGGATTAAAGCTTGCCAGTTCCCTCATGGTTCTAAGAAATTCCATGAGTGGGGCTAATGCTTAGCGTCTGAGTCATTGCCGCCAAGGTCCTGTCAACCATTATTAAATCCCGTATTACTTAAAGCATATTTGAGTAACACTTCGACATGGCGACCAATAATCTAACTAATCTTTAACGCCTATTTGCTCGCGCGTTCAAGAAATTGCACGCGCAAATAGGGCGAGAAGAAATAGGAAAGTTCTATTTAGTAATCTCCAAAAATAAGAAATTCCTAACTAGGAAGGGCAAATTAAAATTCCCTATAGACTTGGAATTAACGGAGATTATTAAGGATTCGGTGCCTGAGTAATGCCCAAGAAAACGTAAGAGAGTACTAGATAAAAGTAAATGCCTGGACATAACGGTTCAAAACTTCAAGAAGAATACCGTAAGTAATATTAAAAGCCTAATTAAAGGCTATTAGTACGAGCTTAGTACTAAATCCTTAGAGATTATTAGTTATTAGCCAGAGTCTAATTAATTAATTCGTATACTTTGCCTTAATTAATACCTTATACTACTTTAAGAAATAAGAGATAATTAAATTCGCTAGATATAGAAAGAAATAAAGTTAATTTAATATCTGCGGTTATATAAGGCTTTCCTTAATAAATCAGGATATACTAAAGAGAAGGAATATAATTCTCAAAGAACTTATAACTAATATTTGAGATACCTCTATAAAGATTAGAAATTAGATAAGGTAAAGGAAAAGGAGGCAAGAATAGATTTAACTAAGTATCTATATTATAGAAAAAGGTAAAAAATCTTTCTAAATACTTTAATAGCTGGATTTATTATTATTTATAGTCTAAACTTTATAACGAAAGTAATATAAGTATTCTAATATAATACTAATAAGCCATGAAATTTCTAATATAATAAAAGTAGTAGAACTAATTATATACTACTAAATTTAGAGACTTTTATAAGCCAGATTAAAAAGCCTAGAATTTATTAACTATATGAAGTATTTAGGTTACCGAGTAAGTAGTGTAGTATAGCAGGCCGTACTCGTCAAAAATCATGTTATTTTGGCGGTTTTAAGGTTTAGGTCACATAGCAAAGGCCGCGGCCTTTTGCACGTGACTTGCGGAAATCACATAAGAAAGCTGGTTTTTCTATAGTTCTAGAAGACAATTCTTTATAAGTATTTAATTAATTAAGCTTTTATATACTATATACTATTTATACTTTACTATTTACGCTTTTAATTTATTATTTTACTATTAAGTTACGTTTTGCGCTCTAGTATACTTTATATAGGTTTTTATCTTATTATAGTTTCTCTCTCATATATTTTATAGTAAGTAATATAGGGAGAATAGAAACTTTATAGTTAAGGTAATACTCTTATAAAGTTCTGAGGGATATTTATAAGGCGGATTATTAGCTTAGTAAGTTAGGGGAGAAAAAGGGCTATTATAATACCTTAAGCCTAAGGCCAAAATATTAAGGATATACGAGTATTAATCTCAGTATCTTATATTAATTTCTAATATATCTAGTAACTTAAATACAAGTTAGCCGCAAGATATAGTTATTAGTATAGTATATAGAAGTAATAGAAATAGAGGCTAACTATAAAAGAAAAAGAAGCAGAGGAAATAGAATAGGAAATATTATACTAAGATAATATAAGTCAGACCTTAGTTAGAAATAGACTTTAGTATACGGAAATAAGATTATACTATTAATTTATATATTATTTTTAGTTATAGTAAAAGTCGGAATTAAAGTAGCTTTAATCTTAATAGTAAGGCTTGCTTCTAAGTCTAAAGAAAATACCTAAAATAGAAAATGCCCTTAATTTCAAGTAAGATAGTAAACAGAAATCAGAAAGAATTAAAAGGAAATCGGAAATAAGAAATTATATAGACAAATTAGAGAAGCCTCTAGAGAAAGAGGAGGTTACTAAGTAGAAATAATAAGGAAAATTCAGAGAAATTAGAGAAAATAGCGGAATTAGAGAAATTGTTTTTATTATTATTATTATTATTATTTTTATTAATAGTACTATAAAGTGCATCTAGTTCGGCGAAAATAAGAAGAAATATTATAGATATTAAGCTAATAAAGCAGAAAAGAAAGTATAAGTAATAGAAATAAGACTAGAAAAACTACTACTATATTACTACTAATACTAAAACTCAAACCTAGACTATATTTATTATTATTAACCGGTTTCTCTCTAATTCCGGTTCCTAAACCAAAAAATATATTTAAATAGGAAGTTAGTTCTTTAGGAACCTTATTAGTAGAAGTCTCAGATACGGAAACTCTATAATTAATTATAGAAGAAATTATTAAGATTAATATAGCCGAGAATAAGTATATACTAGTACCGGATTTGAATCTGCCGCTTATGGGAGCTTCTAGAATACTATAGTTTCAGGGAAGTAATATCTCTATATTCTTGAAGTAATATATAAATATATATAAGAACTATTATATTTCCAATAATACTAAAAAAGAGAGAATTATCTATTATATCTCTTCTATTTATAAGAATTAGATTAAGGCTATACCGGAGTACTATACTAATAACTCTAGAGATTACTAGAAAACCAAGTTCTTTAAGGCCTTACTAAAGAAATTCCGAAAGTATAACTAGGAAATACTT